ATTCCTCGTGAACTTTTGATATTACCTTCCGATCTTTCAAGAACTTTCCCAAACTATTTTTATCCGTGATATTATACTCTTCGTCGTGATACGATTCGATCGAAATCATAAGTTTTTTTTTTAAATAATTCGAATGATTCGAAGAAAGGATCATCCGAGCGACGAATTGGGAACGATGCGTACCTGACACCGTGTTACGATAAACTAGGTGTTCCAGGTGGTCAGGATCGGTTTTATATACGCGCACTTTACGGTGAGATCGGGAACGTGTGGCGGTCGTCGTTAACGGTTGAACGACGGCGAGCAGGGAGCGCGCGGGTTCTCGTTTCCCGAAGATGAGACCTCCGTTGGTACCGCGTTCCTCGGTGCCACTGGTACCGGCTCGCCCCGCCACGCGGTTCTTGTTCCCGATTTTACGGATTAGAGGAGTGGAACGATAAGGAGACGCACGAGAGAGGGGAAAAGCGATCAGCCACGGAGTAGGTGGCGGAGAGTTGGAGCGGGATTATACAGGGAAGGGGGAGGTCATGGCGGGCTGCTGGTGGTACACGGCCTCGTGTGTGATCCACGGTTAGATGGAGAGAAGGGGTCGATGGAGCGAGATCGTTCGATCCCTGTCACGTTTCTTCGGCAAGGAAGGAATCGAATCGTGTTTGAAACCGACCGTTCTTTTCTTATTCTTCTTCTCTTCTTGAGCTGAATTTAATTATCCCCAGAGAGAGGAGGGAATATACAACCTCGTCTCGAACGGGGAAGGGGAAGAAAGGGGGAGGGAGAAGAGAAGAAAGAGAGAGAGAGAGAGAGAGAGATCGTCGAACATTGTAATTTACGTCGTAATTTTTACGTGTAATGGTGGCAGTGTGTATTTCGAATTTTTTCACACGGTCACGCAGATGGTGGTGGACGGAAGTTTACGTGGACGAGAGCGAGGAATGCGTGAGTAGACGTGCGTACGCGTGCCTTTTTTTTTCCCCTCCTCGACTCGAATCTGTAAGTGTAAAGACAATACAGGGGTTGAGATTGTTCGTAATTAATCGCGCTTTATTTCGTACCGAAACGATAAATCGTATTTTCGAGGAGATAGGCGGGAGACGTTCCGATCGACCTCCTACCCTCGTTTCTTTCCGACGATCGCACTAATTCCGATTATCGTCCGGGTATCGAGAGATCGTTCAACGTTTCTATGAATAGAAACCTTGTACGGGGGGTGAAAACAGACCGGCAGATAACAGAGACCGAGGTTTCCACTCGCGATTTAAAAGGTGACGTTTCCGTAAGAGATATATTACTTCGTTTTTATCGAGGGCGATGTTTGATCGAGCATCGTGACGTGTAATGTGAATTAAACTTTCATTCGTTCACTTTTTTTCTGAATTAATGGAGATTAGAAGGATGATAACTGAAAAATAGAAAATTAGTATCTTTTATTATTATTAGCGGAATATTATATATTTGGTCTTTTTATTTATAAGATTAGAGAATATGGAATCATTTCTCCCTTTGTATTTCTTTTTAAATAGAAAATTAGTTATAAATTTAAAAAAATGAAGAACATCGTGTTAAGAATCAGAGATTACGATTTATGTAAATTTTTCTATGATTCTTTGCTCGAGTGCAGTTTTTTTGGAATGGAACGATAATGTTTTGTTTTATACAACAATTCCGTTCTTTTTTCTCTCTCTTTCTTTAAATCGATTGGTATAAAAGTGCAATAACGAGAACGTTGGTTATAGACGGTGTCAATTTACGGGTCGTCAGCACTCGTATCGATTTCCCTTCGCGTAAGTGTAATCGAAACGCGTCCGGGATGATTTTTCTTTTTTTTTCTTTTTTTTTTTTTTTTTTT